TGGCCCCTGAATCAGACAATGTTAATGAAATAAAATCATCCTCCAGCGGCTCACTCTCGTGCACTGCTGACGATCATGAAAGGGAAACCCCCCTTCAAACTCATCGGCCAGATCCACCTGCGATCCCCACTAGCTCATTCCCTTCTGTGCCTCAGCATTCCTGGATCGCGGGAAGCAGATGGCTGCCCCTCTTTCCTTGAAAAGAGAGACAAACGAGAGAGGAGCGTATTTCCTTGGAAAAAACGTTCGTAGTGCACGCCGATTGCCCCCTCGGAGACATCGCGTGCGTGCTCTTTGCCCAAACAAAACAACGCATAGTTTGTGTGTGTCATCAGATGTTAAACAACGTCAACATGGATGCACACATCCTTAAACGCTTTGCTAGTGCTCGCCATAATGAGATAAATAGAGATCGCTCTTACCACAGAAATGCATGCTTCAAACAAAACAGTCAATGAAGACGAAGAAGAGAATGATGTGTAGCTCCCGGCGCCTATTTATGCTATAGTCACACCGGTAGTGACGTCATGGCTGTCGCCGGCCAACGATTTGGTGTTTTTTCAATGTATGCTTCAGACACGGGTCACGACGAGGCGTTCCCCCCCCAAAGCGACCCCTAGAGGACACAGTTCGAAGTTCCCATGAAAGGGAACAGCAATTTGTCCCCTCCCTCATCAATACCACTGTGGTGTCCTTGAGAAAGACCCTTAACTAGGTGTAACTCTGTGAAAGTTAACAGGACACTTCTGATAAAGAGTCTTTTAGAGAACATCCCCTGAAAAGATAAAGGGTAACAATAAAAATTATATAAATAAATAGACAAGGAACAAGAGATTTTTTGAATGTCATAAGGCCAAAATTACCTTGAATCACATAGTATAAAGGGGTAGCTTTGAATGGCTTCTTTTCAAGTTGGCCACCACACCTCATATTGAATTTCGCCATCAAGGCATTTGACATATTTACATTTAGTCATTTAGCAGACGCTTTTGTCCAAAGCGACTTACAAATGAGGACAATGGAAGCAATCAAAATTAACAAAAGAGCAATGATATGCAAGTGTTATAACAAGTCTCAGTTAGCTTAACGCAGTACACGTAGCAAGGTTTTATTTTTAAATCATATAATAAATAAAAAAACAGATAGAATAGAAAAAGAATAGAGCAAGCTAGTGTTAGAGGCCTTATTTGCTTTTGTTAATCAGAAGTCAGAATTATAATTGTACAATAAATAAAAAGAAAACAAATATAGAATGCAAAAAGATTAGAAAAGCAAATTTTTTTTTTTTTTTAAGAAAACAAGCAGTTAGTAAATAAATAGAGTGCAAGTCTAAAAGGGACAAGTTTTTTTAAAGAATAGAATTAGAATATTATAGAATTTTCAAATTAATTAATTGAAAACAGCACTCAAATTCTATCTAGTGCACGTAGTATTTAAAAAAAATATATATATATAATAAATAAAAAGAAAACAGATATAAGAGTAAAAGAATAGAGCAAGCTAATGTTAGATGCCTTTTTTGCTTTTGTTAATTGTATAATAAATAAAAAGTATACAAAAAGATTAGAAAAACTAGTGTTACTTTTTTTTAAAAGAAAACAAGCAGTAAATGAATAAATAGAGTGCAAGTCTAAAAGGGACAAGTTTTTTTAAAGAATAGAATTAGAATATTATAGAATTTTCAAATTAATTAATTGAAAACAGCACTCAAATTCTATCTAGTGACATCATGAAAACTCACAATTCATGCTTAAGCAGCTGGGTTCAAGAGTCCCGACGGGAGGCCTTTCTGCATGTTCTCCCTGTGTCAGTGTGGCTTTGCTCTGGTTCCCAAGACATGCAGGTTAGGTGAACTAAAGATTCTAAAAGAAAAAAGTAATAAATATAAATAAATCCACCAGCTCTGTAGCATTTCCATCAGTAAGGTTCTTTTCCGTTCTGATATGTCTGACTATAAGGAGTTAGATGATGTTTTAAACTTTATATGTATGATGGGTAAATAGCATATCCAAGAAACCTACCTGCAAAGCTCCGCGAGAAACTATGCTCAAGTGCACCGAGGGCAAAACCTGCTTTAAACACAAAGGATGCTCACACCAAATGTTGATTTCATTTAGTTAATAGAAGTTAATTGATAAAGAAAATCTATTTATGACATTGTTTTTGACAGCATTCTCATTTTACAGCATTTTTACACAAGTGCCTAATACTTTTAACAGTACTGCTTTGCAGGTAGGTTTCTTGAAACATCTTGGAGACGTTGCTACAGTTCTTCTGGTTTGAGTCTGTCTCAGTTTGTTCTGTTTCTTCATGTCATTCCAGACAGACTGGATGATGATCAGATCAGATATCACAACCACCTCGATATTGATTCTGTGAAAGAAATTACTCAGGATTACTTCACCTCAGAAAAATTTCCACGCAAGATCAATATTACAATTAACAGTAATGTGCAGCGTTGCGATTGTATGCTATGTTAAAACATACACTTTCACAACCACTCATCTATCATGTAACAAGTGCATGAACTAAGTTCTTATCCATATCCACAGTTTTTGTGACAAGTATTGACTGACAATCATGGCTTACACTGAAATTATGTTTATTATGGCGTAGCCATCATTTCAGAAGTGAAGGGGACAGAAATGTAAAATGTAATAACACCTTTTTTTTCTTTGTTCTAACAGGTTTTATTTATTTTTCTTACTTTTAATTGGCTAAGAAATCAAATAAACTGCTGGACAATAACCAATAATTTGTATTCTGTAATATATTTTTTCCTAATGTCAATTTTATGATTTGTTCATATACCACACCCCATTTTTATCACAGCTATAGCCTACTGTAATAAATGCTATGTCAGTTAGCACTGCATTATTCAGATAGTTTGTGTATTACATGGAGATGACTTGAAAAACACAAATAAACCATATATTGTCCTAATCGTGCATGTATCGTCTTCACGTTTTTTTTTTATTCAGCAATAGCGGGATGCCTTTGCCCAAATTAAGGATTTCCTGGTTGGCATGTCATAAGTACTTCTATGAGTCAGTTTTGGACTTTCTGCTCAAGAGCGCCCTCAGGCTTCGGGTATGAATGAAACATACACTGCATGTTCACATTTCCTCGTTTTGGATACGAATAAAATGCCAGGTCATGCATAGACTATCTTTTCTCTTTGAATTTAAGTCTAGATTTATTCACACTGGCCCTACTTTTAGCCTACTAACGTTAGCTAATTTTAGCCAAACTCAAACTACATTTCAGTTGACAATGTGCGCATTTCTTTCGGTTCCTTTGTGTCAAACAAGTAGAACTCAACCACATTAATAAAATACTACAAAATGTACTTACCCAACAGTAGATTTTTAATAATTTGTCGACTTTCGCAATAAAACAAAACGCCCTCCTCAAGTCCTCTCCTTGTGATCGTTTGAAGAAACGGAAAATGCAAGTAGGTATAACTGCAGACCGGAGATCTCCAAAATGAGGCGTGAACTCCAAAAGTGGGCAGAACCTCCAAAATGGGGTGGGGTCTCCTCGCGCAAAGACTTTCACCATTGGCTCTGGCTTCAGCCAATTGTTATTGACTTACATTTCAAAATAAAACTTTATAAAGTTAAACATTGTTTCTAGTTGATCTAAAATAAAATATGCTACATAAATAAATATTCTCCGTGAGAGCAGAGCCCAAAGCTCTTGGCCAGTGGTGTTTGGACTGGATTTTGAACCTCTGCTTCATGATATAAACGCGAATCACCCACGAGCTCTCCTGCGAGCCGTCCCAGCGCAGCGTAAATATTTTACTCTATCGCTTTGTTTTAAGCAACGGGGTTTTCCCGAGGCTCAAAATTCGAAGGGTAGTGATGCTGGGTTCAACTAAAAGGTGCCATTGTCCGGTGAGGTCTGGTTGGGGAGTTACGGAACGATCTCATATCGCATAATCTTTTTAACGTTTATCTCCTGAACTGCATCTTTCTTTACCACAGTCTATTTCACTGGTTAAGGTTAGGGTCAGGTGTGGGGTAGGTTTAGGGGTTAGCATTTTTTGTAGCATAGTGTAGGAAATCAACACTTTAATTGACACAACCAATAAAATCTTTAGAATCAGCTGTGGGGTGGAGTTTGCACTTAAGTGGATTGGGGGGAAAAATTCTGTCAATGAGAGGAAGGCACGCCCTATTTTGGAGCTCCCACCCCGTTTTGGAGTTCCCGCCCCCATTTGCAGATCTCCAGGCTGCAGTATACCCTTCTCGGAAAATGCGTTAACGCTCTCTCGCGAGATAATCTATCCTATCGCGGAATTTTGCAAAAACCGTGAGATATGTTACAACATCTTGGCAGCAGAGTTTTGGAAATTCACAGAAAACTCAGACTTGAAATGGTAATCGGATATATATATATATGTTACATACAGTGGGTACGGAAAGTATTCAGACCCCCTTAAAATTTTCACTCTTTGTTATATTGCAGCCATTTGCTAAAATCATTTAAGTTAATTTTTTTTCCTCATTAATGTACACACAGCACACCATATTGACAGAAAAACACAGAATTGTTGACATTTTTGCAGATTTATTAAAAAAGAAAAACTGAAATATCACATGGTCCTAAGTATTCAGACCCTTTGCTCAGTATTTAGTAGAAGCACCCTTTTGATCGAATACAGCCATGAGTCTTTTTGGGAAAGATGCAACAAGTTTTGCACACCTGGATTTGGGGATCCTCTGCCATCCCTCCTTGCAGATCCTCTCCAGTTCTGTAATTTCATTAAAAAATCAAATAAAATCGTGTCGTAATGTAGGGAAAACGGGTAATAATGACTAAAATGCAGTAGCTTCACAATCACTTAACCACACAGGGCACTCTGTGAATACAATTAGTCATTAAACTAAATACAAATGATCGTGATGTAAATACAAATGATTGTGTATTTCATAAATATTTACAGATTTTTTACAATTGGTCTTAGTGGACTATAGACGTGTAAAGGACGTTACTCACAAACTCTTAAAAACTACTTAGGGCACTTAATTAAATTTTTGGAGTATTAACAAAGGTGTAAGCACAATTGCTTTTGCATATTTCATAGGAATTTCGAAGAGGGTCGTGATGGACTATAAATGCACGTGTAAAGGACATCACTAGTGGACGTCCTTTCACAACTGATTCACAACAGGGTATAGCTACATATTTAGCCTACTACAAGTAGCTAAAAGTCAAGGTAACAATTATACATGCAACCCCAGAGAACTGTAGAGATGTACAAACGTATCTGAAAGCATTTTTAGGAAATGTTTTTATGAAATGTTTACATATTTTTACCGATTAAAATTATATTATGACCTGTATTTCTCTCTTCATACTCCATAGTATCTCTACTCTCATCCTGATAGCTGCAATTCAATCAAGCAATTCGTTTATTTTCCCAGAATATGAAAGTGGTACAGTAACTGATGTGAGCGATCGAATGCGGTTGAATTTCTTGGCTGTTTTGAGCAGATGCCACCTCAAGTGTGTTGAGATTTATCAGTGGTTTTCGGTGATCGATGACGATATGTCGTGCATTTAGTCAGCAGGAGGTTTGTCTGTTCCACTGATACCAGGAGAGATTGAAAGATCTGCACAATGTGGAGGGCGAAAATGGGGCTTTCTTGTTAGTATAGGGTTAGTGATTGATGTTCCCCATTCCCTGTTATCATGCCCTGCAGACGTCTGCATTGCGTCATCCTGAATAGATCAGTAAACCTGGATGCATTATGCACGGGGTTCTCCCTCTCAAAGTCACACATGGGTGTGAATATGGATGACTCACTGCTTTATTAAATGTTTATATACACTACTGTTCAAAAGTATGGTTAAAAGAAGTCTCTTATGTTCAAGGCTGCATTTATTTGATCAAAAATGCTTTTTTAAATAGCTGTTTTCTATTTGAATATATTTTAAAATGTAATTTATTCCTGTGATGTAAAGCTGAATTTTCAGCATCATTACTCCAGTCTTCAGTGTCACATGATCTTTAGAAATCATTTTAATATGCTGAACTGCTGCTCAAGAAACATTTATTATTATTATCAATGTTGAAAACAGCTAATATGCTTAATATTTAACAGTTAATGCACAATACTTTTTGTGGAAACGGTGATACTTTTTTTTCAGGATTCTTTCAGGATTCAAAAGAACAAAGTTAATTTGAAATATATATTTTTTTGTAACTCTATAAAATATATTTGCTGTCAATTTTGATCAAGTTTAAGCATCCTTGCTGAATAAAAATATTAAAGGGATAGTTTACCCAAAATTGAAAATTCTTTCATTAATTACTCACCCTCTAATGTCGTTCCAAACCCGTAAGACCTTCGTTCATCTTCGGAACACAATTTAAGCTTTCTGACCCTGCATAGACAGCAATGGAACTGACAAGGCCCAGAAAGGTAGTAAGGACATCGTTAAAATAGTCCATGTGACATCAGTGGTTCAACCCTAATTTTATGAAGCTACGAGAATATACATTCGCACGCGTCGTGGTACTGTCATGAACGTGCGTTGAAGACTGACACGGAAGAGAAGAAATTGTTGACTAAAGTCATTATTTTTGTTTTCTTTGCGCACAAAAAGTATTTGTGACGTAACGTGTGGTCAAGTATGGTATCCCATCCAAGTGCACACACACAGCAGTGAGTAGTGAACACACACACACACACACACACAAAAGCATCCTAGGTGTATATGACTTTCTTCTTTCAGACGAATCCAGTCGGAGTTATATTAAAAATTGTCCTGGCTATTCCAAGCTCTATCATTGCAGTCAGCGGGTGTTGCAGTTGAACAGTTCACAAGTCGTCAAATAAAGCGCACGCATTCATAATAAAACATGCTTCACACGGCTCCGGGGGGTGAATAAAGGCCTTCTCTAGTGAATCCATGCATTTTTGTAGGAAAAATATCCATATTTCTAACCTTTCATTGTTAGAAAAGGTTACTGAGGCTCGCACCACGTTTTCTAGGAACACAAGCTGTCTCAGGAAACACTGTGTTCTGATATGGGGAATCTTATTTGGTGGATTAATTAGTGGTGTTCGCTAAGGTAAGCACTATTACAATTGCTCAAGCTCCTATGTTAAGTGAACTTTTTTCATCTGAACAGATTTCTGAAATGTAGCATTGCATCACTTGCTCACCAATGGATCATCTGCAGTGAATGGGTGCCATCAGAATGAGAGTCCAAACAGCTGATAAAAACATCACAATAATCCACAGGTAATCCACACCACTCCAGTCCATCAGTTAATGTTTTGTGAAGAGAAATGCTGTGTGTTTGTAAGAAACAAATCAGTCATTAAGTCATTTTAACTTCAAACCTTTGCTTCTATAATATTGCTTTCTGCACTGAAAAGGTAATCTTGTCTGAATCAGGAGAGAAATATGCACAGATGGGAACTTTAGCACACATCTCAAATGATTCCTCAAATCATGTGTGTCTCGTTGAAGAGAGATGTGCTGTTTCTTGAGCACCCTAGCAACCATTTAACAACCTGTTAAAAAAACAACCACCTATAGCAACACCTTGTTAACCGCAAACACACCAGCATTGTTGTGGTGAGTTTTACAAATAGCTGCGTTTGGAATAGCATACTACTCATAATATTTCCATTATAAACATAGCTTTAATATTCATGGAAGTGTTGCCTATTAAAATGTTGTCTGTATGATACATCCAGCTTGCCTTAGTAAAGAAACCACATTGACAAACCTGGTAGTATTTCAATTAAGGTTGCCCATCGGTAGCGTTTGTAAAAACACAGATATTAAATTGTTAAATTGCTTATGTCATGTGTTATCAACTCTGGGCACATTTGCATTGATCCACAGAGTGACTCACCTTTAGATCAATGCATTTCATTAAACATGTTAGTGGCACTGTATTGGGAAAGACCACTCTGACAAACCAAACACCTCATCGTGACGAACATTTTTCAGTCTGAAAACAGAATCAGCAACTTCCTTGAAGCTCTTAAAGGAATAGTTCACCAAAAAAATTAAAATGTCATTATGGGGGTAGAATTGTTGCTTAATTCCAAATAAATAGATTATGATCCACAAATAAATAGAATGAGATCCCATCCTCAGGCCATCCAAGATGTAGATTAGTTTGTTTCTTCATGGGATCAGACTTTGGAAAAATGTAGCATTCCATCACTAGCTCAGCAATGGATGCTCTGCAGTGAATGGGTGCCGTCAGAATGAGAGTCCAAACAGCTGATAAATACATCACAATAATCCACAAGTAATCCACAGCACTCCAGTCCATCAGTTAATGTCTTGTGAAGTGAAAAGCTGCATGTTTGTAAGAAACAAATCCATTATTAAGATGTTATTCAACTTAAAACTGTTTCCAGTGAGTCCTCTATCCATATATTGCTTCCTCCAGTGAAAAAGTGGTCTTGTCTGAATCAGGAGAGAAATCTGCACAGATCAAGCACTGTTTACAGTCCAAAACAGCTCTAAACAAATGTGTGTGTGGATTTTGATGTGAGAGACAACAGGAGATGGACTGGAGGAAGCGTTATTATGGATAATGGACTCATATTTTGGCCAGAAGCAATTTTAAAGTTAAAATGCCTTGATGGATTTGTTTCTTACAAACATGCAGCTTTTCACTTCCCAAGACATTAACTGATTGACTGGAGGGGTGTGGATTACTTGTGGATTATTGTGATGTTTTTATCAGCTGTTTAGTCTCTCATTCTGACGGCACCCATTCACTACAGAGCATCCAAGTGATGGAATGCTAAATTTCTCCCACTCTGATGAAGAAACAAACTCTATATCTTGGATGGCCTGCAGGATGAGTATATTTTCAGCAATTTTTGGCCTACTCATTTAATGGTTAACATAATGTAACAAATAACATGTTTTTTCAAATCACAGCTTGTATTGACTGAAAAGACGGTCAAACTCATTAAGATGAATGCAGTTCCCCTGGAACACAGTGAATTATGTTGAAAATGTTCTCTCATAGTTTGAAATTTCACTTCAGTAATCCCAGGCAGATATTAATGGATTATCAAAGCGCTTTCTTCGTGATAATCCTCCGCTGGCGGACTGCTCATCTTCACTTATTTCTTATAGACAGAATGAGCAAAATGTATTTAACATGCATTTATAACCAGCTAGGTGTAAGATGCCATCTTAGAGAGACATTTTCAGATGACAATTCAGGTTCCACGAGAAGAGCTCGTTTGTTGATCTTTTTGTTTTTTTAACACTTTTGTTAATGACTCGGGTCGATCAAAATGGGAAGCTCAATAAACTGAGGTCAATTTGCATTAGTCAGACAGTTTTTTTAAGTGTCAGTTGATCTTTTACTGCCTAAAGTAATAAATGATTCTTAAAGTGATCTCATTATGTAAATGACGTAAATGAGGGAGTATGTAATCAGCGCTTCAGGCCTGCCAATAGCCTAATGAAGCTCCTTTTAGCATCAGAGATCTGTGGGAGTTGTACTATTGTAGTAGAAATAATTTTATTTTTAAAGTGTGTGTATATATATATATACAGTATATATCAGGGATCTTCAAATCTGGCCCACGAGATCCACTTTCCTGCAGAGTTTAGCTCTAACCCTAATCAAACACACCTGAGCATGCTAATCAATGTCTTCAGGATCATCAGAAAATCACAGGTAGGTGAGTTTGATCAGGGTTGGAGCTAAACTCTGCAGCACATTGGACCCCCAGGGCAAGATTTGAGAAACCCTGGTATATATCATATGTATGTATATGTGTGTGTGTGTGTGTGTGTGTGTATATGTGTGTGTATACAGTGGGGATTTCAACAAAATTTCAACCATTTCAACAAAAACCTTTATTTTGTGGAAACACAGTGATCAAAATCAGAGTACAGGAACCACTGTAGCATGAAAGAAGATTACGACTGATATTTTGGAGGGTTACAGCAGTCAGAAATCAGTAGGAATGGTAGAGGCCCTGCTTTGAGTGACTTCAGCACATCTCTAGTTTCTCACACTGCACTTCTGTGATCTTGCTCCGCTCTTCTTCTTGCTCCGCTCTTCTTCCAGTCTCTTCCATATTTCGGTGACTGTAGTGGGTTTCTTAGCCAGAACTTTGTTGCCAAGGATTTTCCAGAGATTTTCAGTCGGGTTTAGAGCAGGACTCTGGGCCGGTCATTTAATTATTTCAGTGTTTTCAGCTTCAAGGAACTGCTTTACCTGTTTTGCAGTGTGACGGGAACATTGGGCTTATTGGGAGATGCTTGCAGGGAAGGAACTGCGTGTTGCTGAAGGAGGTTCTGATAAACATTTGCATTCACCTGCTATGTATCTGTATAAGAGACCAAACTCCTGTTACAGAAAACATCCCCCAAACCATCACACTTCCCCCTCCAGCTTTCACTGATTCTTTACGCACTCAGCTTCAGTTTTTCCCCAGTTTGACGCTGATCATAATGTTTCCCATCAGACCCAAATAAACTAAACTTGCTCTCATCACTAAAGTGAACTTTGGACCAGTTCTCCTCTCTCCACACAACATGCTCCTCAGCAAATGTGAGTCTAGCCTTTTGATTCTTTCTGCTGATGAGAGGCGACCAGTCGACCAGCTTCTCTTGCAGTGGACCGCCTCATCTGGACCGCCTCCTTTCTCAGGCTTTCAGTCACCTTAGAGCAACCCGCCATCTTGCAATCCCAGTGAAAATTATAAGAATGTTGCCAGTGAAATACGGCATGTCATAATTAAGGAAATTAGCACCAGGTACCAGATTAACACCAATAACTTGGAGGTATCTGTAAGTGTTCTCTAATTCTGATTAGAGTTCTTTTTCAAATTTCAAATTTAAGCTTTTTATACTGAGCTTCAGAATACAATTAATTTATGAAATATGCATAAAAGTTTTCCTTTCTACTCCTGTTAGGATTACTTCAAATAGGACTAAGCAGTGACATTGAAATGTAGAAAATTGTGTCCTCATAATTAAATTAGTATAACATGATTTTTATATAAATACATACATATATATTTATTAATTTATTTATGTGTGCATAATTTAATTTAATATAAGTTAGTTTAGTTTAGTTCAATGATTTTTTTTATACACTCATCCTCCAACTTAGATGACTTTTTTTCCCTAAGCATGTTGCATCACAAGCTGTCTAGTTAGGCAGCTCACTAGGTTTAGGAACAGAACATCTCTGTACGTGTGAATATGTCCCATTAAAAACTTGCTCAGCACACCTTTTAAGGAGAGAGACAGTAGAGTCAGCTGTCTTAACTGCGGCTTGTGTACTGCATAATTACTGTGTCTGTTCCCCTTTCGGGCTTGAACTGATGGTAAAACTCATGACATTATTTACTGTCTTTACATTTATTTTGAAAGATGAAGCTTGTGATTATGGTAAGGGGCGTTACATTTCCGACGAGTGCTTGCGGTGTTCGGCCAATCACAATGCACTGGGTCAGCTGGCCAATCAGAGCAGACTGCGCTTGTCGGAAGGAGGGACTTTGTAGAAAACGAAGCGTTTGAGAGAGGCGGGGCATAGAGGACCTACAATAATGTACAGTATTTGAAAAATGTGTTTTTTGAACATTAAAGCATGTCAACATATTCTGTTACACCAAATACACAAAATAATGATCTTTAAAAAAGCATCCTATGACCCCTTTAATGAAACAACTGCAATGGGGAAGGATTTTAAGAATTGAATGCCTTAACACACTTAGTGTGTTTTGGCTGTAAAGTCAAAATGTATCAAAGACTTCTGCTTTCCTGTCCCAAACCTATCTTCAGTAACAAAAGGGCCATTTGGCATTCCTGAAGGCACAGAAGTGCTGATATCGATCAAGGCCTGTAGGCCAACATGTGTATACATCTGGGGTCTGCTAATTGTCACACCTTTTGCCCAGTGGGTGAAGTTATAATCTGCTGATTGGTCAGTTTGAATCTCTCACATTTGGTTTTTAGTCACATGGTCAAGGAAGGGATAAAAGAGGACTGTAACTGTTGCTCTGGCTCTTTTCTTTGTTGCCTCTTTTCTTTGTTGGAGCTCTTCTTGAGTCTCTGCCCTCTCTCCCTCTTTTTCTTCCTCTCTCTATTCCCCCCTCTCTCTATCTCTTTCTCTCAGGTAATATTTTACATGTTGGGTACAATTAACTATGCTTTTCCATCCTTCATCTATTTTGTAACCAATTCAAGTGTAACCATAACAAAATATTGTTATTAAACCATTTCAATTATTAATTATGTGCTAACTAGTCTTGATTCAAGGTTAACATTAAAGTGCTACCTATTGCAATACAATAGTCACTCAATAGCAACGCTCTCCGACATATTTAGCTATTCTAACTGCGCTTAATTCCGTCGTTGGTATAAGTGGCAGTGGGTGGTAATAGACTAGAAATGTACAGTTTTATACCATCGTGCTGATAACGTTTCTTTAGTCATTCGGCAATCCTACAGCCTGAACCACCGTAGGGAAACCATCCTTACATGGCTTTCACCATTCTGCCTTTCCAAAAGAATTAACTACAACATTTAATTCAATGCACATTCCTGCATAAAGCACTTTAGGACAATGATTTGATTTGTTCATGCTCTCAGCAGTCGTATTTCGGTACCAGAGCTGTTGTTTTGCAATCTCAAATCAAGTCTTCATGGCTTAAATATTCATAGATGGCAAATACACTGAAGAATAGCAGACCAATTTTCATTTTAATTGTCGCCACCTCTTTAGAAATCACCGCGGTGGACCCCTGACTTCATTTTAATTTCCACACTCGTTTGTGTATTTGTTGTGCAGGTTTCAAGAGGTCAATCCCTAATGGAAATGTATCTGTGTCTTTTACTGAGTTGCAGTGGCTGTAAAATTGCTCTGTCGCGTCCTATTCTAACCAATTTATGGGTCACTGAAATTCACAGACTGAAAGATTTAGATGCAAGGTGCAAACAATATTCCATCTGTTCTAGTTACCTGACCAAACATTAAAATCAGCTCAAATTAATTCTCAGGTTTGACAGTCCCACATAAATCAATGCAAAATGTCTTTCAATAATGTTATGCAATTCTGTTTGAATCAAGAAGTTCAATGTTTTGCTCCAGTCAGGGATGTGGGAAAAGCATTAGCATGCTTTGTTTTCTGTTGACTTGAAGTGGAATCTGTCTTATTTGAGTCTGTACGGCTGCAAAATTCCACAGAAAGTTGCGAAAGCTGGATTAACCACTCCAATTTACAGATAATATGGTATCTCTTCTCAATAAATCGTCCTGGAATTACTTCAGTCAAATTCCAATTTGCGCTTGGAGAAAGTGCCTTGTGAAGCTTTTGTTTGCAGTGCTAGTGAATCTATTAAGGCAGAGGTGCTTCTGCACGCTCATTGAGTCTAATTAACAACAGGCCTTTATAAACAAAATAGCAATTTGTTTGGCTAGTGTCTCAGTATGAGAGGTTTATACTGTTCTTTTTATAGCATTTTCCTCACGTGTTTCAGCAAATGTTTCGCTACACAAGTTTTATCATCATGCACTCTCAGAAAAAAGGCACAAAAACCTGTCACTGGGGCAGTACCTTTTCAAAAGGTACACTTTTGTACCTTTTAGAAGAAAAAAGAATTGAGATGTTAACTCAGAATTTTGAGGAAAACATCAAAATTGTGAGACATAAACACAGAATTGCGATAACAAAAGTCAGAATACTACATTTATCTCATAATTCTGAGTTTGTATCTCATAATTATGCAACAATCTAAAAGCATCTGAGATGCCAGACAAGTTTTAAATATATACAATATATCCAAATACTGCTAAATAGAAATGCATTTACAAAACTGTATTGACTAACAATATATATATTTATTTATTTAACAATATAGCTTTATTTATAATAATATTTTGAAATAATATTTGTTTATTAGTATGCATATTAAGAATTTAATGCATAAATTCTAAAGATTAGACAGTATATACAGTATATACTGTATATATTTATATATATACTGTATATATACACGTACACACATTTATAAATTTGAACAATATTAAATGCTTATATGCTTTAATATTAAAGTTAATTGCTTATTGTATAATAATAATAATAATAATTTTTGTTATTTTTTTTGTTTAGTCAAGTCTCTTGAGCTCCTGATGCCAGTTGCATCAACTGCTTAGACTAGTCTTAAAATAAACTCAGAATTGTGAGGGAAAAAGTGCGAAAATAAGTCACAATAACCTCTTTTTATTTTTTATTCCATGGCAGGAAAAAAACAGAATTGTGTGATTTAGGCCTGGTTTCACAAACGGGGCTTAGCTTAAGCCAGGACTAGGCCTTAGTTAAATTAAGATATTTAATCAACTTTTACAAAAATGCCTTAGAAGGAAACATTACAGGTGTGCATCTTGACACAGAACGATGACACTGAAATATTTTAAGATATGTCAGAGCAAGATATTTTCAGTTGAGACAGCTCAAACATGCATTTTAGTCTGGGACTAGCTTCAGCCTAATATGATTAGCAACATGCTTACACCAAACTCTAGAATTTAACTCGGGTCAAGTCTCTTGTGCTTATGATTAAAAATATATATATATATATACTTTTTTTTAATGTACAATAATAAAGTACTCTAATGTAAACCACCGTTGAAGATAATGAGAATTACAAAAGACTAATTTATGTTAATGAGAAATTCTTCACGACTCTTAATTGTCACCATGCAATCAATCCCAAATAGGCTTAATTTTCTTTACGTAAAATGTTTTTTAGAATGAAATGTGGCCTGCATATGTTTTCATGAGATTCACCCAGTGAACTTTCATCTGAAGAGATGCAGGTGGAAGAACATACCTTTAATATGCTTTAATTTAAAGCTTTAGTCACTGCAAGAAAAAGGGCAGATTCTGTCCGTTCCCAGGCATTGTATGTGCCTGGAGTGTCACCGGCAGTGAGGAAGAGGGCCGCTGGCATGCCGAGGGCTGAGCGCGTCAGGTGCCAACATAGCCAGACATTATGGAATAAATCATTCCACTGCGGCCCAACTGGCTTCAGCAGAGCTGATGACCTTCCAAGATCTGATCAGCCTCCAGTTACCAGAGCAGCTGTCAGATCAGTATTCCTCACTGCTGCTGGTTTAGCTGGTTAGCTGTGGTAGTTAGTCCCTGCTGGTACATGCTGGAACATTATGGCGGTAAAATGCAAGTTTGTCGGTTGACGGATAGCATAACATTTTTGCAAGCAACATAAATGCACACACAAATAAAATAAAAAAAAGTCACAAATATTTAATTATATTATAGTAGATAGTAGATAGCTTGTCTATACACTGAAATAAGTGAAAATACTGTTTAACTCTCGTCATATTTTATTACCATTTTCTAAA